GTGAAACACAAAATGAAAATCACAAGTTAAAAATAATTATTACCAATAGTCTTGAAGGTGCTGCATAAATTTTGTTTTTTTAAATTGTTTTCCGTGAAATCAGAATTTCAGATTATTCATCACACACACAAGAAAAACTATCCCTAGTTTTACAGAAAGATATATTAGATTAACACACTAAAAGAAATACATCTTGGCTTTTTAGATTTTAATAAAATATTCATTAATATGACTTTTTTATTAACAGGAGCCTTTACATGATACATGCCCCTCCTCCCACTACCCAGGTGCTCTGTGCTTCATGTCTTTTGTTTGGCTTTGAATTTTTCTGTCTTCCTGATTGTTCCCACACAGGAAACAGCATCATTATAAGTTGGTAAAAATCCATAAAGCCAACTAGGGAAGACTACTTTAATGCTATCTGAGAACTCATTCTCCAATAAACACTGCATTTCAGAAGCATGTAGGCCCCTGCTTGCCTAGGGACTGAGCAGTTGGCAATCAACCTAAGGTCAGCCCCATGGCAAGGAAGAATATTTCCATTAGCCCAGGAAGACATTTTTGATAACTCCATTTAATCGTGCTACTGGAAAGTAATAGATTATAACCAATTATATCTCTTATCTGCTTATAATTATGTGAATTATATATTGGATGACAGGGATTACATTCTGATAACTAACCTACAAAATAATGTTCTACCTGACTAGATAAAAAACTATATCTATTAGATAACTCTTTGTTTATCTCATCTGGTGTTTATATGCACATTACTATAAACAGAAGGACAACAAATACTATTTGGCTGTTTGAAATACTGTGCAAATTCAACTTCCCATTAATATAGGATCTGAACATAGAAGATAAAGAGCAACCCAAGATATCTTTAAATTCTTAACCTAAAACCAACTATTAACAAGCTACAAAAAGCTATAAATTAGATTGAACTTTTTTCAGTTCAGTAATTTCTACTTTGGTAAGGCCAAATTTAATTTTCTTTTTGCTACTATCTACCTATGATGGTATCACCTATAATAAGAAATATATATTTGGTCTTCCCCACACAGAGGTCCTGAAACCCTTGGAATTTCCTAAGTGATAAGAATGATAAAGCTGACAGGAGCAAGGAGTCTTTTGTTACTCATAATAAGCCCCTTTCAACCACACCTCAGTTTGTTAATGAGGTCATTTTTGGAAAACCCCTCAGGATGGGGACTGATTAAAAGGGGGACCAACCTTGTGATTAGAGGGTTGGAACTTTCAGCTACCTACACCCCCTCCTCCCCACATCTGGGGAAGGAAGAGGGGCTAGAGGTTGAGTTAATCTCTAATAGCCAATGATTTAGTCAACCATGCCTATATAATGAATCCTCCACAAAAAAACCCTAGCTGAAGGGTTTTGGAGAGCTTCCAAATTGGTGAAGAAGAATTCACTCATGTGAGGAAGTGTGGCCTACCTCAAACTTTACAGGGAAAGAAGTTCATGTGCTCAGGATCCTTCCAGATCTCATCCTCTGTATCTCTTCATCTGGCTGTTTATTTATGCCCTTTAAAATATGCTTTGTAATAAATCAATAATAGTAAGTAGAGAGATTTCCTGAGTTCTGTAAGCCATTCTAGCAAATTATCAAACCCAAGAAGCGGGTTGTGGAAACCTCTTCTTATGGCCAGTTGGTCAGAAGCACAGGTGACAACCTATACTTGCAACTGCTGTCTCACATGAGGGCCCTGACCTGTGGAATCTGATGCTATCTCCAGGTAGATACTATCACAATTTAGTTAAATTGTGGGACATCCAGTGGTTGTTAAGAATTGCCTGGTGTGCAAAAAAAAATACCCACACATTTGGTGGCCAGAAGTGGCCTGTGAATAGTGTAGTAGATAAAAATCATGATTTTTTTTTCCTTGTACTACATAAATAATAAAGATATTTGGTAGTGGTGGATAAAGGGTTTGGCAATACTCAAAGTTTAGGGGCACAGGTCTCTCTATCACACAAAATCACCAAGTTGTATTAAAAAGAAGAACATGTGTATAAAAATGATAAAACTCTAAAAACAACTTAAAAATAGTTCTGGAATGATACTGTACTGACAAAAATTATTACTATACACTAACATAATCATTCATTTTAGATCAGTTTGCTTCATCTAGCAATAAAAACATAATATATAAATGGATCAAAGACCTAAACATAAGACCTGAAACAATAAACTGCACAAAAGAAAACTTATGGACCTTAGGTTCAAAGGGGATTTTATGAATGTGACTTCAAAGGCAAGGCAAGTAAAAGCTAAAATAAATGAATGGGACTATATCAAACTAAAAAGCTGTGCACAGCAAAAGAAACTATGGACAAAATAAAGAGGCAACCAACCGAACAGGAGAAGACTTTTGCAAACAATGCCTCCAATAAGGAGCTAATATCCAAAATATATAAGAAACTCATACAACTCAAGAACAAAAAAACAAACAATCCAATTAAAAAATGGGCACTTTTCCCTCTAAGCTCAGGAACAAGGCAAAGTTGCCCACCATCACCACTTCTATTCAGTATACAGAGGGTGCCAAAAATATGTATATACATTTTAACCCTCTGCCAGGCACAACTGATCTCACATATTCATTGCATACAAAGATGCTGCTATGAAATACATCTTTACTGTACTAAATCACAAACATGACTGGTGACAGGTTACGCTAGAGGGGTAAGATACAGAAGCGATAAGTCACGACACTTAACTGTTAGATATTTGAAAATTTGTGTGCAATGAATCTGTGAGATCAGTTGTACCCGACAGAGGGTTAAGAAAGGAAAAAGATGATTAAAATTGTAATACAATGAATAACACTAGCATTCATTTGATTAACGCCATCTTTTGAGCAAAAGTCATACTACACATTGCTACCGTAATTCAATTAAACTTTGAAAAGTAATACATAGATAACATCTCTTAAAATGTGTACTTTTTTTGGCATACCCGGTATAGATTTAATGCAATCTCTATCAAAATACCAATGGCACTTTTCACAGAACTAGAACAACTAATCCTAAAATTATATGGAACCACAAAAGACCTAAATAGCCAAAGAAATTTTGAGAAAGAACAAAATGGGAGGTATCACGCTCCCTGATATAAAACTATACAAAAAAGCTACAATAACCAGAATAATATGGTACTGACTAAAAACAGATACATAGATCGATGGAACAGATTTGAAACCTCAGAAATAACTTCTTGCTTACATAGTCAACTAGCCTATGACAAAGAGGTAAGGATATACAATTGATTAAAGACAGTCTCTTCAATAAGTAGTGTTGGGAAAACTGGGAAGACACATGCAAAAAATGAAATTGGACTACTTTCTTACACCATATACAAAAATAAACTCAAAACAGATTAAACACTTAAATATAAGACCTGAAACCATAAAACTCACAGAAGAAAACACAGAATGTAAACTCTTTGACATCACCCTTAGAAATATCTTTTTGATATATCTCCTCAGGCAAGGGAAATAAAAGAAAAAATAAATGAATGGGATTATATCAATCTAAAGTGTTTTTGCACAGTGAAGGAAACCACCAACAAAACAAAAAGACAATCTACTGTGGGAGAAAATATTTGCAAATCATGTATCTTATAAGGGGTTAATATCCAAAATATATAGGAAACTCATACAACTTAACACCAAAAAACAACAACAAAAAACCAAACAATCCAATTAAACAAAGGGCAGAGGACCTGAAAAAACATTTCTCCAAAGAAGACATGGGCAACGGACTTATAAAAAGATGCTCAACATCCCTAATCATCAAAGAAATGCAAATTAAAACCACAATGAGATATCTCCTCACCCCAGTCAGAGTGGCTATCGTCAATAAATCAACAAATAATAAGTGCTGACAAGGAAGTGGAGAAAAGGGAACCCTCATACACTGTGGGTGGGATTGTATATTTGTGTAACCACTATGGAAATGAGTATGGAGATTCCTCAATAAACTAAAAACAGGGCTGCCATATGATCCAACAATTCCATTTCTGGGTATTTTTCTGAAGAAAACAAAAACACTAATTTGAAAGGTATATGCATCCCCATGTTCTTTGCAGCATTACTAGTAACAGCCAAGATATGGAAGCAATCTAGGTATCCATCAGTAGATCAACGGATAAAGACGATGTGGTATATATACACACAATGGAGGATTATTCAGCAATAAAAAAGAATGAAATCTTGACATTTCCGATAACACAGGGAAACCTAGAGTATATTATATGTTCAGAGAAATAAGTCAGACAGAGGAAGACAAAGACAAATACTATATGATTTCACTTATATGTGGAATCTAAAAAAACAAAAAAACAAAAACAAATGAACAAAACGAAATAGAAACAAACCTAGAGAACAAGCTGTTGGTTGCCAAAGGAAAGGGGAGTGGGGAAAATGGGAAAATGTTTTAATAAAAAAGAATTAACTCTATTATCTGATATTTTCACACAGTTTTTGGTAAAGAAACAGTCACCTGGCCTCAGTTGGTTTCTAGCACTTTTAAAAAATAGAACACAGTATTTTTTTGGAGAAAATAATATTAGCAATGTAAAAAACATTATATTTGTTTTTCAAACTGTATTCTACAAAGCCCAATGAATTTACCTAAAAAATATGCCTTTTTGTAGCCAGCGGAGAGGCTGGAGTCCATTTACTCATTCTCTTCTCTCCAATTCTAGTCCTTCCCATCAAACAGTACCAATTTTGACTATTTTTTACATAATGGACTTGAGCTAAAGACTTTCTTTGGAAAAAAAGATTCCACCACTACAATCAAACAAATAAACTAATCAAACTAAATAGTTTGAAAATTTATATAATTAACAGTTGTTGGTAAGTTAAAGCTTCAACAAGATTTTGAATTTATTTTGATATTTATGTACAGCTTAAAGCAATGCTATTAACAATCAAAATTTTCATTTCAGATTCATAGAAAGAGTAAACCTTACCCAGCATGGCTAGATGATGAAGGTGGTGGCAAGTCTGGTGTAAGAATATAAAGACTGTTGTTTTTTGGCAAATGTAGTGATTTTAAGACCATCTGAAAAAGAAAACAGAAAAACAAACAGAAAATGACTGTTGATTGTGCATTATTTTTTCCTATAGTTCTTAAAAAATTCTCAATATTATAGTATGACTTTTTATCTTTTGACAATTTCCTAAATAGGGTAATATAAGACTACTGAACCCAAATAACCTTGTTTCTCCATAAGTATCATAAATTAACATAAATATGAATGTTAAAATGCAAATTTTTTAGCTTATGAAGAGATACGAATAGATAAGAACACAGTTAAGACTCATTATCTTCACTGAAGAAGTATATCCTTGCAACTAATATGCCCTTCATTCCAGGATTATTATAGCAAAAATTAGAAATGTAGTTTTTCAGAGATCATTAGACCTAGAAAGGATCACAGAGAGTACCTCAGTACAATGACTTTATTGAAGAGGAGCTGTAGCCTGAGAGGTGAAGTGACCTGGATGAGGTCTCTAGCAGGTGTGACTTAGGTCATTTAGGTCACTTAACTCTTAATCCACAGCATTTTCTGTTGTTGTTAAAGCACTCTGTCTGGGGTGAATAAACTACTCTTGGTTACATCTGACCTATTATCATGATAACCATACAAAATTTCACTAAATTTCTTTGCCAGAAAACTTCTACATATTTTTCAAACTCCAACTTGATAGTAAATACATGCTAATGTACTTCAAACTTTTTTTGACAGTAATACACATTAAGAAACACACTTTTACATCTTTACATCATAACCCAGCACACACATTTATTCAACAGATATTTACTAAGCCACCTACTCTGTGCCAGGACTATTCTAAACACTGGGGATTTAGCAGTGGACAGGATAGTCTAAGAACCCTGATCTCATGAAGCTTACATTGTAGTAGGAATAAGTAACCTATATATTTGAGTATTAGAAACTGATAATTTTTTGAGTAAATACAAAGCAGAAAAGAGGGGGTGAAGAAAATGAGGTTGGGGAGTTACGTAATTTTAAACTGAATTATCAGGGTGGTTCTCACCTGGAGAATGTGACATTTGAGCAAAGACTTGAAGGTGCTGAGGAAATAGACCATGAGAATACATAGAAAAAGAGTATTGCAGGCAAAGGGAATAGTCAATGCAAAATGCTTAACAAAAAACAAGGAGTCCAACGTAACTGAAGCCAAATGAGCAAAGGTAGGAGATAGGTCAGAGAGGCGACAGGAACAGCAGGGGTAGGAAATGTGTTGATCCACTGAGGCTAAGGTAAGGGCTTTGGCTCTTACTCTGAATGAGATGGAAAGTTACAGGAGTGACATGATTGAATTCATGTTGAAAAAGGATCACTTTGGCAGTTGTGTGTTGCAAATATTGAGCTGTCGGAAAAGTCACGATGCATTTTTGCAATGAAAAACAGAAAAAATACGTCATGACTTTTCCGACAACCCAATAGATGGGAAGGTGTTCACAAAGGAGGGCAGAAGAGGCTAAAGAAATATACTAAGATAAGGCTGATGAGGGCTTAGGTTGGTGGTAGAAGTGGTACACAATAGTTGAATTCTGAATTTATTTGTAAGATAGAACCAAAAGGATTTCCTGACAAATGGGATATGGGTTATGACAGAAGAGAGTCAATAATAATTTAAAAGATTTAAAAATGAACAATTGGAAGCAAGAAGCTGTCATTAATTGAAATGGGGAAGACTTCCATTTTGGACACATAAGTTTGAAATGTATACTAGACATTCAAGTGGAGAAGACAAGTAAGCAGCTGATTTATCAACCAGGAATTCAGGAAACAGGCCTGCGTGGAGATCTAAATTAGAGATATGAAATTGATAGTGTACACAGATGATACTTAAAAGCCATGACAGTAGGTAAGACAATAATGTGGTCACTGGTGACTTTGACAAAAGCACCAGCAGGTCCCTGTTTAGACTGGACTCGAGAAATGGGAGGAAAGGAATTAGAGAGAGCAAATACAGATAACACTTTAAGAAGAGTTTCATTATCAAGGAGACTAGAGAAATGAGACAATTTCTGGAAGCGGAGATGGGATCAAGAGAAAAATGGAAGAATAACATCATGTTTGAATATTAATGGTAACTCTCTACTAGAGGAAAATATTGATAATACAGGAAAGACAAGAAAGAGTGAAGTCCTTGAATAGGCCAGAGAGGATACAGAATGTAATCCATAGCAAACATGGAGTTTTGATCTTAGATAGGAGATTGGACAGACCATCTACAATAACAGGAGACAAAGAATAATAGTATGTGTGTAAGGGGCAGCTAAGTAAACAGAGACTAAGTTAGAAGCTTGTAGAAATTTTTTTTGTGATTGCCTTTGTTTTGTCAGTGAAACAAAATAGAAAGCAAAGTCATCAGCTGAGAGTGAGAATGGAGAGAGGTGTTTTAAAGGTCTGAGGAGAGGATAAGTATAAAATAGCCATTTAGGAGAGTGTGGATAAACCAGGTAAACATACTATGATTGCCAATAACATTTAGGGGCTCTCTGAAGATCATGGTAAAAAATTTAAAGATACACCTATCAGTTTGATTTTGTTTTTCTCTAGCCACATTTAGCTGTAAAGCATAGGAGGGACAGATTTGGACTTATCCAAGGTAAGAATTTTTGTCAAGCAAGATCCATGCAGCCAGAGTTAAGGCTATATGCAAGAAAGTGATTATAAGGTTGACCATGATATTTAGCCTTCTGTAAGGAAGGGAAGACATGAAAAAGATAATCATGAAAAGATGGCAGAAACAATGGATTGGAGGTCTGAATGAGGTTGAAGGATTGTTGGAGTTAGAATACTAACAGAAACGAGCTGGAAAGATGAGAGATGGTGGAGAAGAAAACAGAAGCTTGAAATTAAGATTTGAGAATTGTTGTAATTAAATGATAAGACCATGGGAAAATATGGCTGATAGGGTGGAGAAACAGATCTTTGTAGGAAAGAAGTTCAAGGAACTACGAAACCAAGGTGTTGGAAGAATCATCTAAAAAGATTCAAATTACTACAAATTAAGACAGGTCGCAATTATAAACCAGCAACTAGAAACCATCAGGAAATGAGGGGAAGTGACTTCAATAAGAAGGTGATATAATTTTCTGACATGAAATTAAAAGTTGAAGGGTTTTAGAGAGGAGGTAATCATAAAAGTTCTGGAAGTGGAAATTAGGAACAATGAGGGCATACAGTAAGTAGACCCCTTATCTGTGAAGGATACATTCCAAGACCCCCAGTGGATGCCTGAAACAATGGACAGTACTGAACCCTGCATGTACTATGTTTTTTCTCTACACACATACCTAGGATAAAGTTTAATTTATAAATTAGGAACAGTAAGAAATTAATAATAAATAGTAACAAAATAGAACTATAACAATGTACATAATAAAAGTTATGTGAATGTGGTCTCTGTTCTCTCAAAATACATTATTGCACTGTACATACAGTGTGGATACGCTAAACAAAGGGATGATTCATCTTGGGCGGGACGGAATGAGAAGTGATCGATTTCGTCACACTACTCTGAATGGCGTGAAATTTAAAACTTATGAGTTATTTATTTCTGGACTTTTCCATTTAATATTTTCAGACCACGGTTGACCATGGGTAACCGAAACCACAGAAGGCGAAACTATGGATATGGGGGGATTACTGTATATATTACCAGTTAGTCCAGTGGTATGGTGGTTGCTGGAGAAAAATAATTAACACTGAGAAAGAGAAACAATGTCCTCAGGAAGAAAGAGTTCAGTCAGAGGAAGACAGTGAAGAAAATGTGTAGGGAAAAGGTTGACAACAGAAGAAATTTTACTAATGATGAATTAGTTCTACAGGTCACAGCAAAAAGGTTTCAGGCATTGTAGAGAAAAAAGGATAAAGGAAGACATGGGCTGTGCAGAGACAGGAGATTTGTGTGAGAGGAAACATGGAAATCAGCCTCCTTGCAGTGACTGGCATCCATAGTTGGAAAAGGCATAATGACATTAGTCCTGGTTGAATCAAAGCAAATAATAATGTCAAGGATGAAAGCATTGGAAAGTAAGGTGGAGTTGATGTCTAGGAATTTCTCTTCACCCTGCAGATGGAAGTAGGCTGATCCTACCCAAGCATAAAATATGAGAAACTCATTCTTCACCCCTCCAGGAGAAGGCCCATCTTCCTAAGTGCACAGTCTTACTCCAAGGGCATTAGGATCTACTCTCGACTCATATTAGTAATGTATTAAATAAAAAGAAATAACCTTATTATTTACAATACACTCTGACATCTTCGATCCTATTTCTCCCCCCCGCCCAATTCTGGCTATAACCCACTCAACTTCAGAACCCACTAATGGTTTGTGACCCATGGTTTGGGGCTGGGAACACTATATTTAAAAGCACAATGTCTACCAGAAGCCATTGACAAAGAAGAATTGAACCAAAGTTGAAGATTCTAAGTTTAAGCCTGGATACTGAAATATCGACTCACTAACTAGTGTGAAATAATTTGATAATATTTCCACCTCAAATATCTACAATTTCAGAGTTAACTCATTTCTTTCAATCCCTCCCAACTATCTCTGTCAGAAAAAAGGAAAAGTGTGTGAAATATTTTATACCTAAGGCTTGAGAATGACAGATACTACCTTAAAATTATAACACCTTTTTTTTTTTTTTATTGGGGAATTGGGGGTGGAGAACAGACAAGTTGCTGTCCTTTTTGTTCTTCAGTTTAGTTGTGGAGGACGTTGCTTCACTGGCCCATGTTGGTATTATGATCACTGCACTCTTCCTGGGTGAGGCAGTCGCTCGCCGGCCATTGGAGGACTGCTCACGGCAGCTCACGAAAGCGCACGCCAGCTGCTGGCCAGCCCCACTGCAGCCTACGCCATTGCCGGCGACTCACAGCAGCCCAGCTCCAGATCCAGCGGCTGTTCACCATCTCAGCTATAGAGGGCACAGTGTCACTGGCCCTTATGTGGATGGGAACTGGGACCTTGCTGGTCAGAGCTGGTGTCCCAAGCCAACTCTTAACCAATGCGCCACTCAGCCGGCCCAAAATTATAACACTTTTTAAAAATTCTTACAAGTCTTAAAATATTGGGCTGTCAGAAAAGTCATAACGTATTTTTTTCTGTTTTTCATGGCAAAAATGTATCACAACTTTTCCTACAACCCAATATAATTCATTTTATGTACCTGCCACTAACCAAGTAAACAGAAACATTCTTACTATTTAAATTTTCCAAATTTAATTTTTTTCTATTATTTTTGTTCTATAATCAATACTTGGCATACATGTGTACACTGTGTTTGACTTCCTTCAGGCCAATAACTAATTGTTTAGTACATTATTATTCCAGGGTACTTACTGACACCCTACAAGATTTAAGAAAAAGGTAAGTGCTCTCCAAAAAGAGTGCCAAACTAACTCCTATAAAATAGTTAGAAACAGGAAAAACATACCAGATAGTATTTTCACTTACATACTAAACTCCTTTAAAACTATTTTTTTACCATAAAATGCTTCAGTTTGAAATATTTTGTTTGCTAATTCCTGAAATTGTTATTAATACCAAATCTACTCCTGTTACATGTAAAAACATTAATAAAAACCAATTTTTAGGGACGGCCGAGTGGCGCGTTGGTTAAGAGCTGGCTTAGGACACCAGCTCTGAGCAGCAGGACCACGGTTTGGGTCCCACATGAGGGCCAGTGATGCTGTGCCCTCTACAGCTAAGATGGTGAACAACAGCTTGACCTGGGCTGCCGTGAGTCGCTGGCAACGGTGTAGGCTTCAGTGGAGCTGCAATGGGCTGCCATAAGCTATCGTGAGTGGCTGACCATGAGTGGCTGGCAGCCAGTGCGAGCTGCCAAAGCTGCCGTGAGCGGCCGTCCAGTGGCCGGCGACCAATCTACCTCACCCAGGAAGAACACAATTATAATATCAACATGGGACAGTGAAGCCACATCCTACACAACTAGACTGAAGAACAAATGGACAGCAACTTGTCTGTTCCCCTTCCCCAGATTCCCCAGTGCTGTTCCCCTCCCCCAATTCCCCAATAAAATCTTAAAAAAAAAAAACCAAACAAACAATTTTTATACATCATTTAGTCAACTGAATAACTTAATTTTACTTTTAGACAACTAAAAACTCACACTGTCTTCCACATCTCCAGTCTTCCAGCCTTTTAACAGCATTTTAGACGCAGGTATCTGAAGTTCATTTTCTAGAATCTGTTTAATTTCTCCTGTATAAATAAGAAGAGACCGAATATTACTAACAAAGTAATACAATCAACATTTGTTCATATTCAGGGCTAGCATTCATATTCGACATAGTGCACGGTCAATGACATTCTCTGATGAATGAATAACAAAAATTTCAGTAGTCCAAACTTCAAATCTTGATCAAACAACATGTTACTCCTTAGAACTCAACATAACTCAACATTGGTTATGTTAAAAGATTCTACAACTAATTAAGAAGTTAATTGCATAACTTACCAAAAGATATCAGTGATTGGGGGTTTTAAGGAAAACAACCTATTTTAAACCAATCAACTGATAATACCTATATGTGCTCAGCATATGTTAAGATAGCAGGTCAAGTATAAAACCTGAGTCATTATAGTATAGGGAAAGCAGATTTTGGAATGAAGAGGGGTTGAAGTCTTATCTTGAAGAAATCAAATAACTTGTCTATTCTTAGTTTTTGCAACTATAAAACAGGAAATAATACTGCCCATCTTCTCTACCTCTAGGATGAAAGTAAATAAGACCCATAAAGATAGCTGGAAAAAAATAAAGCCGATGTATAAAATCTAGAAGACAATTTAAATTGTGTTAAAGAGAAAAGCAACAGAATTTCAGAAAAGGAAAAAAATTGCGTTGGATCAAACAGAGAATGCTTTGTGAGAGAAATGAGACTTAAACCCAGCTTGAAGAAAAACTGCGTTTAAACCAAGCTTGAAGTATAAGAACTGGGCTATGAAGGGAAGTCAACCCAAAGGCAAGGATATTATTCAGTGCAGACAAAAGAATGAAAGGTATAAAATGCCAAAATAAACATGATGCTAATGAGAAATAATGAGGAATCACAATTTTCCCAGGGCTCCACAAATTATTTTTCAGGAATCAGGTCTACTTATAAATTAATCAGCTCATTTCTGGTACTACAGTTTATGAAACTGTTCAATCAAAATGTACAAATGTGCTTTTATTAGGTTGGTGCTAATCTATAATTTTAGATTAACACATAATTCAATTCCAATTATAAGTGATTCAATACTGAAAAAACTGATTATATTATATATTAAAACAGGAAAAATAATTCCATGCTGATTAAGGAAAAGAAGGGGGACAGCTTATGCTACACAAGTTCTACGGAAACACAGCTGCCTAAGCTAAGCAATGCTACAATCAAACCCTTCATGAACTTAGTGATTTTTTTTTTTTTACTTTGCTAAAGAAAATTCCTATTTGGGCACTTTGGATAGTGATTAAACATCATAAAAAGAATTCTGGCTCAACATGTTTTAGAAGCATAAACTTTTATCAACTTTGGACTTCAAAAATGTCACTGCTAATAAAGGATTGTTCTGTTTATATAAATACATATAAATATTGCTGTTTCATTTGTGGCTAAGGTTGCTATTTCTAAAGCTGTACTTGTCTGGAACTGGGCTTATGCTGTTACAAGTCTGCCCAGTGCTTTCCTCTTAGATACCTATCTTCACCTGACACCTCCTACTTAGACTCTTGGAGACATTCTTAGCATTCATAAACTAAAAGAAGTTTCTAAAGAACAAACAAAAAGAGATTTTAAGTTAAAGTCCCAGTTATTCTTTGCAGCAAGCTTGGGTAACATATAAAACAAATAGTCTTTTGTTCCACAGGAAAAGAAGGAATACAAAACAAAACCAGAATTTACAGCAAACTGAGTACATCGTATTTTAAAAATTATTCTGTTGGTCTCAATTTCTTCTTCTGTAAAGTGGGGATGATAACTGTAATATCAACACTTCATTGGGTTACTATATTAAATGACATAAAGCATGGAAAATATTTTGTATTAGTATGTGTTCAGTGCACACAAAGGATTAAAAAAATGTTGGTTATTTTGAGTTGTATTGATTAAGGTAATACACACATTAGTGTCTACCATAGCATCTGTCCAGTATACACTGTCAATAAACAGTAGTTATGGTTTCAAGGATAGTCAAAATAATTTAGGACAGTGAAGTGCTAGCAGGCAGCAAGTTTCAGAGCCAATAGTCAAATCTGGGACTGCCTGACTCCGAAGATCGTTAACACAAGATGGCACTGCACTACAGTATCCCTGTATGTTACCTGGTAAATTGTGAAGATATGCAGATGTCATCAAGAACAGTCCACTGAAATTGCAAACCATATATCTGATAAGGGATTAACATCCAAAATATATAAAGAACACAGGCAGTTCAACAGCAAAAACACCAAATAATCTAACTTAAAAAAGGGCAAAAGGCCTGCATAGACATCTTCCCAAAAATATACAAATGGCCAACAGGTACACAAAAACAGGCTCAATATCACTAATCATTAGAGAAATGCAAATCAAAACTATAATGTGGTATCACCTCATGCTTGTTGAATGGCTATCATTAATAAGACAAGAGAGAACAAATGCTGAGGAGAATGTGGAGAAAAGGGAACCCTTGTGCTCTGTTGGTAGGACTGTAAACTGGTGCAGCCGCTGTCGGAAACACTATGGAGGTTTCTCAAAAAATTAAAAATAGAACTACCATGTGATCCAGCAACTATTTCTGGAACTATATCTGAAGGAAACAAAAACACAATATTGAAGAGCTATCTGTACCCCCAAGTTCACAGCAGCATTATCTACAATAACCAAGATATGGAAACCTACGTGTCTATCAACAGATAAATGGATAAGAAGTTGTGGGATATATGTACACATGTACACACACACACACACACACACACACACACACACACACACACACTGGAATATTAAAAACAGAAGGAAATCCTGCTATTTGCAACAGTATGAATGGGCCTCGAAGTCATTATGTTAAGTGATACAAGTCAAATAGAGAAAGACAAATACTGTTTATCTCACTTACATATGTAATCTGAAAAAAAAAAAAGGGGCCAGTGGAGTGGCTCAGCTGGTTAAGAGCACGAGCTCTGAGCAGCATGGTTGCTGGTTTGATTCCCACATGGGCCAGTGAGCTGTGCCTGAGCTGAGCTGCCCACAGGTGGCAGGATGACTCAGCTGGTGAGAGCACATGCTCCTAGCAACAAGGTTGCTGGTTCGACTCCTGCATGGGATGGTGGTCTACGTCTACCCGTAATTAAGATTAAACATAGCACCTTGAGTTGAGCTGCCGCCAGGCGGCTGGATGGTTCAGTGGTTAGAGCATGCGCTCTTAGCAACAAGGTTTCTGGTTCAACTCCCACATGAGATGGTGGGCTATGTCCACCTGCAACTAAGATGGAAAACGGCACCTTGAGCTGAGCGGCCATGAGCAGCCGCTGGGCCGCCGGATGGCAACTGGACTTGGAGCTGAGCCAGCTGTGCCCTCTACAACTAAGATCGAAGGACAACACCTTGGCTGTTCCCTTCCCCAATTCCCCAACACTGTTCCCCTCCACAATTCTCCAATAAAACCTTGACAAAAAAAAATACCTCACAGAAAAAGAGGTAAGATTTGTGGTAACCAGTGTGGGGAGTGGGGGTAAAGGAATTGGATGAAGGTGGTAAAAAGGTACAAACTTCTAGCTATAAGATAAATAACTACTGGGAATGTAATGTATTACATGATGACTATAATTAACACTGCTATGTGGTATATTTAAAAGTTGTTAAGAGAGAAAACCCCACGAGTTCCCATCACAGGGGAAAAATAAAACTTTTTCTTTTTTTGTATCTATATGAGACAATAGATGTTAACTAAAATTATTGTAATAATTTCACAATATATGTCAAGTATTACACTGTACACCTTAAACTTATACAGTGTTGTGTACCAATTGTATCTCAATAAAACGGGAAGTGTTTTATTTAAGAAAGAACAGTCCATTGAACCCAATACTGTATTTTTAAAAGAACCTTATTAAATTATGATTTACATATAATAGCTATCACCACCACAATCAACATAAAGAACATTTCCTGTATCACAAAAAATTTGCCCAGGCCTCTTTGAAACAAAAGCCTACCCCACCCTAACCTCTGATCTTCCTTCTTACCCTAAAGATTCATTTTATCTGTTCTCTTTTATGTCTGGGTTCTTTTGCTCTGCATGTTTTTTTTTGTGTGTGTGTTTTTTAAAGATTTTTATTGGGGAATTGGGGGGATGGGAACAGTGCTGGGGAATTGGGGGAAGGGGAACAGACGAGTTGCTGTCGTTTTGTTCTTCAGTCTAGTTGTGGAGGACGTTGCTTCACTGGCCCAAGTTGGCACCATCATTGCGCTATTCCCGGGTGAGGCAGATCAGTAGCCGGCTTCTGGATGGCCGCTCACTGCGGCTGCTGGCCGCTCACGCTGGCTGCTGGCTACACACGGTAGCCCATGGCAACCCACTGCCACAGGGGCTGCAGCCTACGCCGTCGCCGGCGACTCATGGCAGCCCAGCTCCAGGTTGAGCTGTTGTTCAGCATCTTAGCTGTAGAGGGCAGTGTCACTGGCCCTCATATGTGGGATCCGAACCGGGGCCCTCTGGCGTCCCAAGCCAGCTCTTAACCATTGTGCCACATGGCCGGCCCTGCTCTGCATGTTTTTGAGATTCATCCATATTGCTGTGTGTACCAATAAATAGTTCCTTTTCATTGCTCAGTAGTATTCCATTATATAGTGCAGTAGCTTCTGAAAGGGCTTCCAATGTTCCCTATCTCATAGTATTCATGCCTTTTGTACTCCCCTCCCCGTTGAATATGGGCTGTACCAGTACTTCTAATAAAGAGAATACAACAGTGGTATTGGGATGTCACTTTTGAGTTAGCGTACAGAAACTGCAACTTCCATCTTGCTAATACATCCTCTACTGCCCTCTTACTTGCTCACTCTGGTGAAGACAGCTGCCTTGTTGTGACATGCTCTGTGAAGAGGCAAATATCACAAGGACCTGAGGGCAGCCTTCAAGGGGAAATGAGGCTCCCAGTTAAACAGCTCACGTGGAAATGAATACTGCCAGCAACCACATCAGTGGTCCTGGAAGTAGATCCTTCTTTAGTTGAGCCTTGA